CACACACACACACACACATTCTCTTTCCAATAACTTGCACATATAGTGATCATAAATTTACTGTGTTGTGAACTCACAGGATCCTCATCTTCATGCCAGCTATCATAGTCAGTCACCATTCCTACTGCGGCATAGCTCATGCCTGCCTCCTTGGCAAGTACTACCTGGAATAACAATTATCTACAATAAAGAGGAAAGAGGGAGTCCAGAGAACTCATCCCAATAACTCCACTGTCATTTGACTTTACTGTTAAATTTGGCCAGAAGTAAACTTGTGTGCTGACTTTTTTTAGGAAAATGTCCTTAGTACTCGTAATAGCAGATGTTTCCAAATGTGAAAAAATATATAAAGAAAAACATTTTCAGAACATTACCAGGTGTGCAACAATGTATGAGTTTAATAAAGGTTCCAATAAAACTGAATATAAAACTATAGGAGATGGGCACACAAAAGAACATAATGTCTAATACAAATAATGTTATTTTTAAAATTTGTAAACCTTATTTTCATTTTTTGCCCCAGTTACTACTACAAATGTGCATAAAGATTCAGCAAATCTTAAATGTTATTAGGGCAAAGGTGTACGTTTAAATTACATAGCAAACAAGGGTTGCTCCTATCTTAATGTTTGAATGACACTACATCATCTTCATAGTCTAAGTGAAGTATTTTTAATCTGGGTGAAAATAAAGGAAAAATCAGAAGTACCTCTGGCACTGTAGTCATGTTGATAATATCTGCTCCCCATGACTTCCACAACTTACTCTCAGCCTTGGATGAGAACCTGGGACCTTCTATGGTCAGAACTGTGCCAGTGGTATGGTGGAGGAGGCCCAACTGCTGGGTACTCTCAATTAGTATCTGCAGTGCAAGCCAGATCATCTAATAGGTTTACAGAATGTGAGTCAACATGAACATACCTTTACATCCACCAATCCACTCCCTTAATAAGAAATTAACCTAATATTTTTTACACTTTTCCCAAATACTTTATGCAGTTGTTGAGATATTTTACCTTGCGTGTCCTTTCACAGAAGGGTGTATGCATTGGTATATGGCTCACTCCCTTGTACTCCTCACAAGTACCATCATAGAATGTTTGAACCCTTTTCTGGGTCCTAAAACAGAAACACTGAAAGTTTTTTGTTTCTCTTTTGTTGTTAGGACTTAAGATCCAAAGGCAAATGCAACATGTCCAACATACACACATATGTTTAAGTTAGAATATGTAATAGATAGATCCCTCGTCAGCGAGGGTTATGTGACATGCACGAGTGCGAAGCACGGGTGGATGTCACATAACCCTTGCTGACGAGGGATCTATCTTATTTAGACCACGGTCCATGAACGGGTTATAATGCATTCATGCGAGACGTGCGAGTTACACCACGTCTGAGTTTTTTGTTCTTCACTTCCACCGTGGTCTAAATATATATATATATACAAATTTTTTTTTGAAAACTGTGGTCATAGTATTTATATAATAAATCGTAACTAGAAGTTCCAATTATCACTGACTTTAATATTAGTATCATAGAAATCTCTTTTTTATTTGTCAGTGGATTGCTGCAAAACTAATGCTAAATTGTCAAAAGTACCCTTTCTGTTTCAGGCAATATACTAATAAATGAAACAGTACACAAGGACAAAGACAACTGAATGCTTTCACTTACCTATCAATAAATTGGTCAGGAAAGAGCATGTCCCCAGGTTTCACATGTTCCTGTAATGACCCACAAGCAGTGGTGACAACTAGATGCGTGCAACCCTCAAGTTTTAGTGCATGCACATTAGCGCGGAAATTTATGTTGGATGGCATAATTTCATGTTTTCTCCCATGTCTAGAATAAAGTTGCAATCTTCATCAACATTACATGTGCATATATACATATTCATATGTTCATACATTTTGGTGTTTGTATGTTTTAGTACTTGATATATTCTCTTCATACAGTGACATCAAAGTCACTGGGCCAAAATTTACACATTGATTGAGAACTTTCATGGTGAGATTTTGTAACATGACACAGATTGTGATGATGCTTAAAACATTGTATATAACTACAGTAAGGTGTCCATAAGTTTATATTTTTCATTTCTTTTTAATCTAAGATGTTTATAAACTTATTGCTTAAAGGCATAACTTGGAAGAAGTTGCCTTGCCTGCTGTGCAATAAGTGAAAAATGCCAAGTCAATCATGTAACTCTATGAGATTTGTGCTTTTAACAGAAAGTTTGATCTCAAGACAGTGCTTCCACTGAAAAATATGTTCTAACCACATGAAAGAGAAACTTTGGTTTTATTCCTTCTTTGTAACCACACCGTGATACTGTCCTTTATACTTCCGCTATCTCCTCCTAGATTATTAGAGTAAGGAAGTTCAAACTTTGGGGACTGGCAGACCTACAGCATCATCAGGGATGTACATGGCCACTCTGGAATTTTAGTGTCTTTGGATAGGGCTGTCCCTGGGGGGGGGG